CTGGGCCCCCACAGCGTTCCTTTCTGGCAGAGGGAGGGCGGGGGTACCATGGAGTGTACGCGTGCGCCTTTCGCTGCAGCAGCTGCTCCGTGTCCTCGCGAGAAGCAGTTTCAGCCGTTTGGGGCTCCGCATCCGCTCTCCGGCTCTCCGGCCTCGTCCAAGGCAGAGTCAGGGTTGAAGAAGCGGACCTCAAAATTACATCCAAGGATAGCCCTTCGACTGCCGGTGCCCGGATGTTCCCGGCGTTCATGAGATCATGCACCATTTCAAGGTCCTCACTCGCAGGGATCCGCGTTTGCAGCTGCCCTCACTTCAAACTCCGGCCTCCGGCGTGAAGTATTCGAGGTATCGCGACAAGAGAGACCTGGCACAAGACAGTCGCCGATCACTGCGGCGCATCTCCAAGCGTTTTAGACTCACCGTGCCTGAACCGGGTACGCTGAGCCTCAAGATCCTGGTAGTACCTCAGACGAAGCAAAGGCTTTCTTATAGTGCCGCCGAGACGTGGCGGATCGGCCGACATCGACCGAGGCCGATGGGGTGCATGGAGCGCAGCTTGTTCTGGAGCTGGGTGCTCTTCAGGAGCTTCCGGTCGCTCTTGGCGAGCACCCTCAGCCGTGCACCCGGTGCACCCTAAAAACGCTTCTCCGAGGCTCCGCTTTGAGTCAGTAAGAGCTCGGCTCCTGCAACTCCTGGCCCTGACGAAAGCGCTCGCAACTCCGCATGCAACTCCGCATGCAACTCATCCGCTTCCCTAGGTAGAGCCGCGCCTGGGAAATGCTGGCATCAAGCTGCTGCTGCAGGCCCTCGGAATCCTGAGACGGCACCTCACACGGCTCCACTCCAAGAAAGTTGCAAGGCCAGAGCGGTCCTGAGAAGTCGAGGCCATGAAGACCTTCAATCAAGACTACATCCTGGGCTTTCGAAGCCGGAAGCTAGCTGCAGCTTTTGGCCTCATCCACATAGGTGCTCAGGTGCGAGAGCACAGTCCTCGCGGCCAGAGGTTCTCCGACCCGGCTGCAGATTCGGCAGGCGCCGCGCGGCGAGCCGCTCTCCTGAGGCCCTCGGAGATCTGCTGCTGAGCTTTCCGCTCCAGCTCCTCCTGCCAGACAGCGACGAAAGCTGGCCGCGGCCGCCCTGCCCTGAGCTTCTGAGCTCCGAACCGTGAGCGGGTTGGTGTAGCCCAAGAGAGTGAAGCGCAGCAGCCGCTGGACCTCTCAGGCAGCCCGCAGAAGAGTCCCCCTCCGGACGCCAAAGGCCGCGCGCGCGCAAGGCGGGGGCGCGGACGCGCCTCGTAGCCAACGCTCTTCGCCAGCTCTGCAAAGAAGCCCGAGCGCCCTTCGACCAGCTGCGTGAGACCTCTTGAAAGGACGGAGAAGAGATGGAAGGGCGAAATGTTCAGAAGTAGCATCCCTCTCTCTCTCTCTCTCTCTCTCTTTCGCCAGGGCTAGGGGCAAGAGGAGACTAGGCCCCCTCGGAGCGAGCTTTTAGTTCAGCGTACTCCAGAAAGGCAAGGGTGAGCCGTGACAGTTCGATGCGCCTGAAGTAAATCACCAAAAGCAGGCTCACCGCACGGGAGATTCCCACAGGGTTAGCTTTCTGGAAGAAAAATCGCATGCCAGATTTCTCAGGTGAAAGTGCACTGCAACCCGACTTCAGTTTACTGGAAAGGAAGAACTCCCCCCGAACAAGCAACAAGACACCGAGCTACCTTCCGAAGTCAAAGAACCTGAACTGAAGTGAAGGGGGTGTTCCCCTAGCGTGCAGTCATGTGCACAGGTGGAAACGCCGTCTTTGGGACAGGTCAACGAGCAAAACAGAAAATGAAATATGAAGGAGAAAGGCTAGAAGAGGAAATGTCCCCTAGGACTGAATCTCCTCCCTCCCTCTCTCTCTCTCTCTCTCTCTCTCTTTCAAACGCTCATCCTCGACCCACCTTCCAGCGGCTTGCTGGCGCGAAGGTGGCCTGCCCAAAGGGGCTGCTGCACCGCTGCACTCATTAGTATGAAAGGTCGCGCCCCCCGCCCTCCGCTCTTTTGAATGGGATCCCCCCATTTGGTCATCCGCACTCTCTTCTGTGTGGAACGGTTTGGATCTTGAGCTGTGCTTGGGCCTTCTCCCCCCCCCCCCTCCCACCTGCCCCGCTCACGGATTGGGCCTAGAGCTTCGAGTTTAGTTCCCTCTCCCTTGCCAGGCCCAGTGCACAGACAGGAGAAAAGCTGGGCTTCTCGACCCCTGGGAATTTAGATGACATGCGCGAGGCGGCTGGCCTCCCTTCGGCAAACTTGGACTCACCTGCGACGCCTGCGAGTTGGAGGCGAAGAGGCGAGACGCGCTCTTCTTCTCGGCCTGGCGGGCCTGGCCTGGTCTTCTCTTTGAAAACGGGGCGCTCTCCGCGCATCCTCCAAGGAGGCCTTCAGCCTCGACGCCAAACTTTCACCTCCGACAAAAACCGAAAGGAAAACGCGGCCTCGGCAGCTCAGGCCGGCTCAGGCCCAGGCGATCATCTCGGGACTCAAACATCCCTAGCTGCCCCCCCGGCCGGGCACTTGCCCCCCGCCCCCCCCCTCGCTCACAGCAAAAGAGACGGCGACAGCGACGGCGACGACGCAACTCCTCGTGGATGTCTCGAGGTGCCGGAGAAGGACTCAGCGAACCTATCACTTCTTGGACAAGGAAGGATAAGGCGCCCCCATTCAAACAGCTCCGAAACTTAAGCTAATACAACGAAAAACACCAACCGATCCGCCAACAAACACCACTCTGCTTGTGCCCTGGCTCTCTCCAGATGCTCGGTGCAAGCGCTGGTTGGCCGTGGGGAAAAGCTCCAGCGTCAAAGAGGCGGCCGGGGCCTTCGAGGCCCTCAGGATGTGTGAAAAGCGCAGACGCCCCTGGACGCCCCTGAGTCAGCTTCCAGGAGTGTCAGCACTGCCCCGGCACCTGCCCGGGACTTGCAGGCCGCGACATGCTGTGAGTGCCTCGGCACTGCCTGGAAGAAGCCCAATACTCCTCAGCGCGAAGGAAACAGACCCGGAAGGAGAAAACAGAGGACTAGGAAACGGGCAGCTCCCAGTCCATCAGATCCTTGCACGCCTCCCGCTGTGGCGCTGTCTCTGCGGCAGTGTCTTGCCCCCTTTTTGAGGTCGGCGCCCACAATCGCCCCGCAGAAGCCAGCGCCTAAGCCCAGACTTCTCCAAAAAGGGACTCAGTCTCTTTAACTCTTCTGCCTCCAGCAGCATGGAACGCGAGGCCACGTCCAGAGAGCGGCGACCTGTGGGGCAGAGCTTGAAATCGCAAGCACGACAAAGGAATCCGTGGATACAAAAAAAGGGGAAACGAAAAGAAGGCATGTTGCGAAGTTATCCAAAGGAAAGGCGGGGGGCGCAAGGGCGAAAGGCCTGACAAATCGTAGCCCCCTCCCCACCTCCCTCCCTCGCTCGCTTTCTCTCGCTCTCTCTGCCTGCTTTCCGAGACTGCCGAACCCTTGCCTGCAGCCTCCTGGCCCAAGAACTCCGGCAACGCCTCACCCGTGCCTTGGCCGTGGAAGTCTGAGGCTGTTCGTACGCCCAAAGAAGACAACTCGCCCTTACGAACTTTCCGCCCGTCGGGCTCCCGACGCAAAGGGCGGACCGGGCACCATGCCGTGGTGGCAAGCCTGCATTCTGACTCTGCCCTACAGGCTGCACACAGGCCCAGCACAGGCCCAAGCCAAGCCCCGAGCTCCTGGGCCCGAAAGCGGGCCACTTCTCTCCGAAACGTGGCCAAGGCCTCAGAAGGAGCTCAAGAAAAAAAGGAGAGGCCCGAGCCGAGAGGAGAGGCTTTCAGCTTCTCGCCTCTTTCAACGAGGCCGGGTCTTTGGACTCCAGCTGGCCAGAGGCTCACCTGCCCCAAATGCGCGCATTAAGTGGTGACGACTGCGAGGGCGAAGAGGGGAGGCGCTCGGGGCGAGCCCTGCCTCGTATTGGCTGTGGCCTCACGGGCTCACGGGGCAAGAGGTACATCGGAGTCTTTCCCCGCCCTTTTTTTCGGCCCTGGGCCCCTGGGCCTGTGGGGAAAGCAACGGCAAAAGCGGCCGTGCGCGGCGTGTTGTTGAAGCCAACGTCACTGTGCCTTCAAGTCCAGAACTGCACTTCCCTCAACCTCAACACGGTCAAGCTCTGCGTCTTCTTCTTGCTATGAGGTGAGGCTCAACCCCCACAAGAAAGCTCTGTCGGAGATTCCAAACATGTGTAGATGACACGTACGAGAATGCCGTCTGGATTTGCAGCATGCGCCTTGCTGTTGGTGATGAATGTTCTGGATGCTGTATGAGCATTCCTTCCTGCCTTGTGTGCTTCGATTCTCTCCGACAAGGTCCCCCCCCCTCACCCCGCCCACAACGAGTCTGCAGTCAAAGAAACCAGGAAGGCCACCGTGCGGAAGACTTCCCGCCTCAAACCCTGCCGGCCCGGAGAGGGAGGCACTCGACAAGCATGGCAGAGCATGGCAGAGCATGGCATGCTCTTGCCCCGGCTCTGGCCGCCTTGCCAGCGCATCGTCGCTGAGCTTTGCACAGCATTGGCAAGGCTCTGCGCGTTTGGCTCCGAGGTCACCTGCGGAGGCGAGCCGACTGGCGAGCCGAGCGGAGCCGAGAAAGAGCCGAGAGTCACCTGCGGAGACCGGCTCCGCACCTCGCGGGCCGAGAAGGACGGCTCCTTCCACAGCAACATGCCGCTGACCTGTGCAGGCTGCAGGAAGGGGTGGCTTGGCTCTGCCCAGTCATGCTTAAGCTTAGGAAAAGTCTTGGACCAACTCAGCTAAACATGCGGCGATATGCTTATACACATACGTGTTTAAATGTGTACACTTTCGGGATGCTTGGCACTCAAGTAACTCTTCAAACATGTGCTGTAACATGGGTTGATTAAACACCCTGGGATGTGTGGCACTAAGGCAACAGTTTAAACAAATGTTTGACAACGTGGGATGTATACATATTCGGGATACCTGGCACTCAGGTAACTGTTCAAACATGTGTTTCAACATGGGCTGATTAAACGCTTTGGGGATGTGTGGCACCAAGGGAGCAATTTAAACCGACGTTTGACAACGTGGATGTATATACATTATTATACATTCGGGATGCCTGCCTGGCACTCCGGTAACTATTCAAACATGTGTTCTAACCACGGGTTGATTAAACACAGTTGTGTGGCACTCAGGAAACAGTTTATACACATTCGGGATGCCTGGCATTCAGGCAACTGTTCAAACATCCTGTTTAAACATGGGTTGACTCCGGGGATTTGTGGCACTCATGGAACAGTTTAAACAGATGGTTGACAACGTGGGTGTATACACATTCGGGATGCCTGGCACTCAGGTAGGAGCGAAACTCATTTTTACCTTTCTTTCGTGTCGGTCTGTGCCTGTCTGTTCCTGTCGATTCGGCCCTTTGTTTCGTGTCGATCCGTGCCTTTTTCCCTGCCTTTTCCTGTACAGCGCCCTGCATTTTCCTTTTCATGTGCATCTTCAGTCCTCTGTCCTGGCGTGAAAACACATGGATTGTGTTTATCTGTGCCTCTTCGTTTGTGTCGATCTGTGTCTTCTGCTCTGTTCTTCCGTATATATATATATATGCTACCCCCCCCAGAATCCGCACTTTGAGTGTTTATACGCAATTATGCATCAGTATCGTGTTATTCCAACCGCAACCTGCAGCCCCAAAACCCAAAAAACCAGCCCCAAACCCGAAGGACAAAGATTCCACGAGGCGTGGCGCGGTGTCACCTGAGCTGGGCGGGAAGTGCTTACCATCGAGTACATACACCCTATACACAGACACAGACTAAACAAAAATCAGCTTCAGTTCCGCTCCCATGGCCGGTGGCTTTTTGAGAAGCGTTGCTCCGTTGGCTTGCTCACTTAGTGAGCTCTTGCAGGAGCAACGCATACTCTAGCTGGGTGAGACCTCTTTCCTGGTCATCGTCGTCGTACGTGTAGCAGTTGCCCTTGCAGCGCCACACCATGGTTCCTTATACATGAACAGGACTTTGAACGCAACAGTGCTGTTTCTTTTTTACACTACTACAAATATATTCAACGCGACTAGGATTCCGTTCGGAAGGCTTACGAAGCGGCGAGGCCACTCCACCGGAGCTCTGGGTACGACCGTTGGGTCCGTCGGCACAACACCCAAAACTAACTTGAGGATGTCATCTGCGACACACACTGGGAGATGCTGCCATATCACCACATGAAAGGACCAAGTCTCCATGGCGTCTGTTTGGCAGGGAAGATCTCCGACTCGACCTGTTCCTACGATAGGCTTCTCGAGTTGCTGCAGCTTCGTGCCGCCTTTTTGTCCGATTGCTTCTTCTGGAGTAGTCACTCTGTCTACATTGGCGGGAATGATGGACTGGGCCAAGGAGACCGCATTACAAGGGGGTACACTAGCCATGGGATCACATATGCTACGAGACTACGTGAAAGTTGTGGCACCAGCACAAGTTTGAGTAGCAGAAGAGACGCTTGCATCCGAAGAGCACTAGCTCTTTCAACCAGCAAACAGAATCACTCCTCCACAGCAAAATGAACCCGAAGATATCTACGGCTACATAACTAAATTTTTTCTTCGGCCATGGGTCCAGAACTTGAGCCAAGACAGTTTTTAATTGCCGCTGAGTCGATGTGCCACACCAACGCCATAAAAGACTGGACAAGGACGACGCTTGCGAGCTAACAACATGCATACACACATATGGTATTGTACGCGTTATACATGTGTCATGCTCATACGAAGACAACAGAGCTGTATACTGACATGCTGTGCTACACCATTCTCCGGTGTGTAAGATGCATGCACACACCACACATGTTGTTTATTTTTTGGGAGTGATCGGGCAGAGCTGCCGTATCACTTGAACACGAGGGACACGAGCGAATGCATGTGCATATACCATTTGTCATTTGTCGGCATGTGCACGCATGCACATACCGCAGGTGTTGTCTTCGTGTGTTGTAAGTGATAGGGCAGAACTGCCGTATCACTTGAGCACGAGGGACACGAACGACCTCAGGTGTATATATCATGTATCGTTTGTCGGTATGTACACGCATGCACATACCACAGGTGTTGTCTTCATGTGTTGTAAGTGATAGGGCAGAACTGCCGTATCACTTGCACACGAGTGACACAAACGAATGTGTGTGTGTGTATGCTGCATGCCTCCAAATGGCTGGTAACATAGCTCATGTTATACGGTCATCCGAATGGGAAAATGCTCGTGTGTTTCGTCAACATCGTTTCATGGGATTGCGACAGAAGCAACAAGAGCAAGATGACAAGCAAAGACGCTTCTACAGCACATACAGCAGAATGAGCATACGAAGCGGCTTTTTTGGCCATCAGATGCAGCAGAGAAGTGCGGTCTGAGGAATCTTGTCATTCGAAGCTACCTC